CTTCCAAGACAACCCTTAGTCTAATTGTATTCTTCAAACTAACGGTTCCCAGTTCCTTCAAATGATCCACGTATGGTAGAGACTCTGTCCACTCACCATCTTGGCTGACCTCCTCTGCACCTGTTACAATCTATAAATGTCCTTCCTACAATGTGGCACCCAGGACTGAGTACAGCACTCCAGATATAGTCTGACCAGGTCAAAGTACAGCTGAAATGCCAGCCTCTCTTTTACCAGACGCTGTGTCTCTCAAGAATGTAGCAAAAGATCATGTTCACTTTCGGGGCTGCCACATCCCCCTCTTGGTGACTCACGATACACTTGCCGCACACCAAAATAACCAGGGCATTTTCACACAACCTGTCGTCCTCCATCTTTGTCTTTGTGTGGTTGGCTTGGTGGTGGCATTTTTTTGTTTTGTTTTTTTTTAACTACTTCCTGTGCCCCCTTCTCCTCCCCATCCCACTATACTATATTGTTTCTCAAACTTCATGAAATTTTTTTCTTAAAAATGAGCTCTTGTTATTTACGAAACAGCATGGTGTATAGATAGAGTCCTGGATCTGAAGTCAGGAAGACTTGAGTTCAATCTTGCTGCGGACCCTTGGTCTGTATGTCACTGGATGAGTTACTTAAATTTTTCTGGCCATCAGTTCTGGGTTGAACTTAATGACCTCTAAGGTCCCTTCAGACTCTCAATTTGGGATCCTATAAAAAGCCTTAAATGCTGTCTTCCAGAGAGAAGGTGTTTACATACCAAATAAACTTTATCCCAGTTCGATTTTGTTTATTATTCCATTTTGTCTCATCATTCAACTATTATTTAGTGTTTGTCATATTCCAGGCACCATGTGAGGCACTGAGGACACAAGTGGAAAGAATAAAAATGAATTCTCAGGGAGTTTACATTCTAATAGGAAAGATAAAGGGTATGTAAATACACACACAAAAATATATGTAAATACAGAATAAATATAAAGAGAATAAATCCAAGTAAATACCAGGTAGTTAAATACAGGAGATTTAAGGAAAGAGGGCACTAGCAGTGGGGGCATGGGGAGACAGGGAAAGGAAGAGAGAATGTGCATTTATTTGTTTTTGTGTGTGTGGTCAAGTTATTTTATTAGTGGGATATGTGATTAAAATAGTTTAGAGACCACTGTTCAACAGGCGTATGAAGCTACCTTGAGCAGAGCTTGCTTTTTGTGAGACACCTGGAAACCAGGATTAGCGATTAGAGAACATGCATTTATTAAGCACGTACTATGAGTTAGGCCCTATTACTCATTTTACAAATATTATCCCCTTTGCTCTACACAACAACCCTGTGAGGTAGGTGCTATTATTATTCCCATTTTACAGCTGAAGAAACCAAGGCAGACAGCAGTTAAGTGACCTGTCCAGAGTCATACAGCTAGTAAGTGTCAGGGGCCTGATTTGAACTCAGGTCTTCCTGATACCACGCTAACCAGCATGCTAACCATCCAGCTGGAAAAGATTCACGTAGAAAGTAGTATGTGAGCAGTATCTTGAAGGAGGAAAGGGGTGATATGAAATGGAGGTGAAGAGGGAATCCGTTGCAGGAACAGGGGACGGCAGTACAAAGATGAAGAGGCATGCGTGCAGTGTGTGAGGAATAACAAAAAGGCCAGTTTATACGAATCTCAGAGTACAGGGAGAGAGTCAGGCACAGAGAGACTGGAGAATAGGCTGGGGCCCAGCTGTGACAGATTTTAAAAGTTAAATGCAGGAGTTTATTTTTTTTTTTTTTAATCCTAGAGGCAAAACGGACCAAGGAGCTTATCAGGCAGAGGCACGCCACGGTTAGGTCTGTGCTTCAGGAAGAGCACTTTTTGCAGCTGTGTGGAAGACAGACTTGAGTCAGGAGAGATGTGAAGCAAGGAGGTCAACAAGGAAGCGGCTAAAATGATCTAGGCAAGAGTTGATGAGGATAACCTAAAGAGATGGACCCTGACTCTGTCATTCAATGAGCTGGCTGGGTTACAAGCACCTCGAAGATAGGAACTGTTTCCCTTATGTCTTTGTAACCCCAGCGCCTAGCACAGTGCTTAGCACACAGTAGGTGTTTAATAAATCCTTATTAATTGATGTCAGCTGTTCCACTGATCTTAGATTTTTATAAGTATGACATCTATACCTTTATCCAAGGCACTGATAATTAATGTTGACTACCACGTGTCCAAGAAGAGAATCTGAAAGCACTCCTTTAGAACACACCCTTGAAATTGATATCAGTACAATAATGGCAGTTCTCAGCTTCCAGTCATTTCATCAGCTCAGAATCTTCTTAAATGTACTATCACCTATTCTAGCCCATGCATCTGTATCACTGAAGGTATTAAAGTGGAAGCTGACTACCACTTTCCAGTAATGAGGTAGAAAGGATTCCTGTTTGGGGACTGGGAGTAAGGGGTTGGACAAAATTATCTCTGAGATCTCTTCCAAATGTGAGATTCTATGATTCCACACATCAAAAAACCAAGGCATCATCTGTGGGAATTACTTCCTCTGTGAATAATATGAAGAGCCCAAACTACATTTGGCTTCTGATTTTCTATTCTGCCTACTCAGAATTTAGCACTTCATCAGTAAGCATTTATTAAGCACCTACTATGTACAGCTAGGTGGCACAGTGGATAGAGCACCAGGCCTGTAGTCAGGAAGATCTGGGTTCAAATCTGGTCTCAGACACTTACTAGCTATGTGACCCCAGGCAAGTCATTTAACCTCGTTTCCCTCAGTTTCCTCAACTGTAAAACGAGCTGGAGAAGGAAATGGCAAACCACTCCAGTATCTTTGCCAAGGAAATCACAAATGGGGTCACAAGGAGTCAGACACAACTGAAAGGACTAAACAACAACATCATGTGTGATGTGACCTGTCATCTTAAGCAGCAGGGATATAAAGGACAAAGTAACAGGGAGAGGGGAAGGGAAAAGGAAAGGGAAAGGAGGAAGGAGAAAGGGGAGAGGAAGAGAGGGAAAGAGGGAGAGAAGGACAAGGACAAGAAGAAGAGTGAGAGGGAGAAGAGAAGAGGACTGAGGATTGAACTTTGGGGTATACTCACAGTTAATAAGGATAAATAATAAGGATATGAATTATAAGCATATAGGATAAAGAAGGATAAAGAATTAGCAAATGAGACTTAGATAGAGCAACCAGTAAAGAAGGAACAGAACCAAGAAAGCGCAGTGTCACACACACAAAAGAAAAGAGAATATCCAGAAAGAAAAGGCGGTCAATGGTGTCAGATGCTGCAGAAAGGTCAACAAGTATTAGAATTAAGAAAAAGCCATTAGCTTTGGCAATTAAAAGACAGTTGCTTTGGAGACAGCAGTTTTAGCCGAGTGCTAAGATCAGAAGCCAGATTGCTAAGAGCTGAGATGTGAAGGAAAGGAAGTAGAAGCAAAGAACATAGTTGATTTTTTTTAGGAGTTTGCTGCAGTGAGGGGCCAAGTTTAGATCAAAAAAAACAAATTTGTAGTGGACCCAGATGGATCAGTTGCATGACTTCCTCCAGCTCGATTTAGCAGCATGTGAGTAGGAGTAAAGGCAAATGGTAAGAGGAATCCAGAGTTGGGGTTTGATGAGGCATGAGTGGCAGAAGGTCAGGGGACAGAGCTAGGGCATGCCCATCTTTTGTGTGGATAAGGCGGACTAGAAGAGTAGGCATGGACTTGAGTAGATGGAGTAATTGGGGGGTAAGAGCATCAAAGAAGTACCAACAGTTATGGTGGAATCCCTTAGTATAAGGACAGGAGCAGAGGAGGAGAGAAGACAGTGAACCAAGCTCCTCCTCGAGAGAGAGCAAGAAGAATAGCCAGGAGGCTGGTCGGAAAACAGTCACCATGATCTGGTACAACAACACAGCTAGCAAGCACCTTCGTTAGCCAGTTATTCAAATATTCTAAGATGTCACTCAGGATACCGACTTCATATTCTTTTTGATGTGATCACTAATGCAATGTGACAAAACGACTTTCAGCTACTAACGATTTTTTTGCAAAACGTGAGATGTTTTTTACCAAGCTAAGTGTCAAAATCACTTGCATTATTAAGGTAATGAGCATTACTGTATTACTTTATACTGCTAATGCGCAGCAGAGCAAACATGTCAACGGCAAAAATAAAATGTTAGAAAAGGTTCTCTCATCATTCCATACTTACACAGGGGATCTTACTTCAATCAAATGGACCCTCACTTTAGCCCTGTCCTGGTGGTCTCTGACAAGGGATTTTCACTGTAGATGAGATCAGTCAAGCATGGCTGCACAAGCCTGCCACTACAGGAGGCCAAATTTGCTGAATCACTTGAATTTAGAAGTTCTGAGCTGCTGTAGGGCTAAAGCCAATAGGTTATCTGCTTTAAGTATTGCAATAATACGGTAAGTCCCTGAGAGCAGAGGACCATCAAGGCGGACTAAGGAGAGGTGAACCTCCATAAAAAAAAGAAACAGGTTAAAATTTCTGTACCAATCATTACTGAGACTGGCTGCTGCACGTTTAGTGGGATGGAGAAATGAAAGGAAGAAGGGAAGGAAGGAGAAATGGAGGGAAGGGGTGAGAGAAAGGAAAAGAAGGAAGGAGGAAGGAAGGAAAGAGAAAAAGAGAAATAAAAGAAAAGAGCAAAGCAAGAAAGAAGAAAAAGAGACAAAGAAGGAGAGAAGAAAGAGAGAAAGGAAGGAGAGATAGAAAAAGGGGAGGAAGGAAGGAAGAGACAATAGGGAGAGGAAAAGGAAGTGGAAGGAAAGATCTTATGAGGAGTTTCTTTTCAATATTTTGGAAACTAAACTCTTATAGGCGGAGAACCCTGAAGGGAGTGTGCATTAGAACGAAATCTATCCCACAAGTATACCAGGGCTCCATAGTAGTAGTAAACTGACTTTGTAACCCTAAGACAAAACAAACACAGAACTGCCTGTTCCATGAGGAACACCCTTATTCACATGTTCTAGGACAAGATTAAGATGTGACCTCACCTTTCCACTTCCCCCTCTGGCACAGACTTCTTCTCAGGATGTTGTTCATTTTCCTTCAAAAATACTTCATCCTCTCCACCTTCTACAAGCAATCCTGGAGAAAATGTCCCTGATCTAGTTCCAAGCCTTTCTGAAGAATCTTTCCAAGGTCCATCCCAAACACCCTCCGTCAACCTGACCGTATGAGAGAAAGCCACAGACGGAATGGGATGGCTGGACACTTTGGAAGACTCCTTGCATTTGGAAAAGGCTGTCCTTTCCACAGATGCCTCCACATCTGCTGAGGAACGTCTCATTTCTTCCTCCTCGCCCCCTGTCCAAAGAATCTCCACCCCATGAAATCCTACGTGTTTGATCCTGCCAGAGCGGCCTGCAGAGCTCCCCTGCTCTACAGGCGACCTGTAGACCGTACCTCGATCACATCCTGGATGCTTCCTTCCCACATCGGACCATCTTTCCCCTGTAAAGCTAATGGTGCCCTCTACTTTATGGGCCACTGCTGATTGCTCCACAGAGGTCTTCTGGCAGATCATCTCCTGCCTTCTGGCAGTCTCTTTCTTCCCACTCTTCATGATTTGAGACAAGGCTGGCTGGGTTTCCCCAGTTAATAAGGCAGTCAAATCCTTCTCGATACTCAAATAAAAATTTTCCTCAGTTATTAGTTCAGCTGGAAGAGGTATTTCTGGTGGTTTTTCTTGGCCAGTGGTAGCTGGTCTCTTGGCTCCTCGTGCTTCCCGGCGGGTGGCATTCAACTCTTTTTCCATTTGCCGGTCCGACGAAACAGAAATCACATCTCCTTCTAGTACCTTTGGTGCCTGCAGTCCCCCTGAAGACACGCTAGATTCTGCAGTGTTCGGCGCTGGGGCCAGGTAGCCAATGGGCTGTGGCAAGCTTGGTTCCTTAAGGTGCCTACGTGAGGATGCTCCCCCCTCATGATTCAGTCCCCCTGCAGTCGGGCTGTCGAGATCAAACTGGGGGCCAACCAAGAGCTGGCCCCCTTCCCGCCCCTGTGCGTAGCACTGTTGACTCTCTGCATCAAATTCAAGTGAAGCTCTGAGGACTTCTCCCCTTTCTTCCATGGTCCCATACTCTGTAAATTCATTGGTGACATTGGGTGGGAGTAAAGTGCTTCCTCCATGATCGCCTACAGAGAGAACAGAAAGGTCTCATTACTTATTTTGAAGGAAAAAAAAAATCAGGTTCTACAACTTATTTATCAACCCTCCTGCCCAATATACACACAGCTGACGCACTACAAATTCCTGATTTGCTTATTTTAACATCCTTTCTTTCCCACTCCATAACCTTGCCAGTGGCACCCTCTACTAACCCTGAGATGAGTTCAACCCCAAAACCATTTTTAGTTATGATCGCTCAACAGTAATGATAACTAATATTTATAAATTGTTTCATAGCTTACGAGCTACTTCATTCATAATAATCCTGTGAGGGAGATAGTGCAAACATTATTATGCCCATTTTACAGATGAGGAAACTGAGGTTTACTGCTTGGGATAATGGGGTAATCTAGTGATTCAAATCCTATTCAAAGCTTACTCCTGATAGATAAAGAAGCCTGTTCCTCAGGATGCTCCATAATCTCTAAGGAGATTAATGACATTTATAGTCCCTCCCATCTAAAACTATGATCTTATATAAAAACATATCAAATACTTAGCCCACAGAATAGTCGTAGGCTTAACTAAATTGTCATATACTATCATACACTTCACAAAAGAGCCTAGTTCAACTCAATCAACAACCTTTATATGGCATCCAGTGTGAGCAGAGCCCCAAAGGAAAGGTGGAATCTATTTAAAGTAAACAACTATTGCCTCTGTCAGAACTCTCCAACTGGATGTAAAGACAACCTTTCAAAAACTCTTTGGGAGGCTGAATAAATCCAAGATGTCAACAAAATCTGGGGGCACTGAAGGGTCCATCTGTACACATTTCTAGAGTCCAGATTGTACAAGATTCCCTGGTAGCTTTGAAACAGACTATTCAAGGTGACTCTTAGGATTAAATTTTAAGGGCACTTGACTTCTGATAAGTAAGGGGACTAATATTTACTTTACAAACCTTTTCAAAATGTACAATAGAGTTGAGAGTTAGTTCTGGCTGACAAAGCAACCAGTTATTAGCATGTATCACCCCTCTGTTCCTCCAGAAACGTGAAAATGATTGGATAGTGACTGAGGAAACCTCTTCCTACCCACCTGGGTGGACTCAGGTTGGTTAGAAGCAGTTAACACACAAGGCCAAGGGCCAACAAGTGTTGGCCTATTTCACTGCTCCAGGGTAAACCTCTAACCTTAATATCACAAATATGTTATCATGTACCAGGAGAATTATGGAAAGGAGTGGGAGAGGGAGAGGGAGAGAGAAAGAGGAAGAGGAGGAGAAAAAAGAAAAAGAAAGGGAGGGAGGGAGAAAAAAAGAGAAACAGACGTGAATAAATAAATGAGTAAATAAAGCATGTATGGATCACTTCATCTTCATTTGGAAAAGCAACTTAAAAGTATAACAGCACTTTAGAAACGGTGAATAAATAATTAGCCTCCTTTTTCAAGAGAAAGTATATTATTTTGGGGATATATCTGAAAAGATTATTAAATGACCATATTTCAGCCATCTCAAGTTTGCCTTCTGGCTGGAAGCTTCAGTTATGGCAGAAGGAGCTGCAGTTAGTAATGGGGCCTTTTCCTCTTCCATCTGCCCAAAGTCTCTGCCTCCCTGGTGGCTACAGGTCAGGACAGTTGGGACAGCTTTTGTTGCTCTGGCTGCTATACTCACAGAGCAGGTGAACATGCAGTGGTTAGGAATTATTGAGATAAGGAATAAGAAGTGAAGCAAAGACCAAATCTCTCAGGGACATCATCCAGGAAGAAAAAAAAAATCATAAAACAATTAAGGAAATGAGTTTGTGTACTTCTGGAGAAGAGGCTGTTGGGTAAAACAAAGTCTACTAATCACTATCTCTCAGCCCCCTTATCTAACTCTGTTTCTGAGACAGCTAGGTAACAAAGTGTTAGACACAGAGCTAGGAAGACCTGAGCTCAAATACAGCCTCAGATATTTATGAGCTGTGTGACCCTAGGTCACTTAGCCGCTGTCTGCCTCAGTTTCCTCATTTGTTAAAATGGGGATAATATTAGCACACACTTTACCAGCTGCTGTAAGGATCAAATGAAATAACACATATGATACACTTTGCAAATTTCAAAGAGGTATAGAAATGTTTATAAGTAAAAAATAGAAATATTTTTATTTATATAAATGTTATATAAGACAATAGTTATTACTTTCATAATTATTATCATTCTTTATCAATTTCTAAGATTTTTCAAAATTTTAAGAATAGAAACTGGAGTTCCTAATGCAAAATACTGCTGTAGAACATTTGTGTGGAAATAAACACAGAGCCTGGTGATAAACAAAGCTAATATCTTTTGTCACAGTTTTACATACGCTAGATTCCCACTTCATTCAAGAAGTTTCAATAGATTTGCCAATTGTTATAACAAAATTGGATGCAGAGTTTTGATAAAACACAGGGCTTAGGATCAGGAAGACTCATCTTCATAAGTTCAAATTTAGCCTCAGACATTTACTGTGTGTCTCAGTTTCTTCATCTGTAAAATGGCAAACCGCTCCAGTATTTTTGCAAAGAAAACCCCAAATGGGGTCACAAAGAGTTGGACACAACTGAAAAACGATTGAACAACAACAATCCACCTAAACAAAAGTACTTTGGCAAAGTCTTCAATAATTTTCTAAGAATGTGAGGGGCTGCTAGGTAGTGCAGTGGATAGAGCACCAGCCCTGAAGTTGGGAGGACTTGAGTTCAAATCAGGCCCTCGGACACTAGCTGTGTGACCCTTGGAAAGTCACTTAATTCCAATTGCCTAAAAAGAGCATGAAGCAATACTGAGATCAAAAAGTTTGAGAAACGCTAGTCTAGCAGAATCCTTTCTCTCCCTACTCTCTCCCTTCTCCCCTCACCAATGATAATAATAATAATAATAATAATAAATTAAGAAGAATAATTGTACAGCTTTAGTAATGCTAACTGAATTTAAAAAGCATGCATCCTATGGAGAAGACTACAAGGAATCCAGGATATAATCACTCAATTAATCACATATTGAGTACCATTCATGCATTTAAGGCACTATGTAAGTCACAAAATGGAATAAAATAGGTACAGATTATAATTATAAATACCAATGCTGACTTAAGAAATAAAGTAGTAACAGCAATTCAGATTTACAGAGAGCTTTAAGGATTACAAAATACTTCATTCACAACTCTAGGAAGTAGGTAGAGCATGATTTATAATACCTATTTTGTAGATGAGAAAGCTAAGGCTCAAAGAGGTTACATGGTTTGTTCAGGGTCACACAACCAGCTAATGACAATCTCCTGCCCGCGTCCTTCTTCCCAGAGATTCAAAGCCACCTTCTTCCTGACTCATGCTCCTTATACCACATCTTGCTATCTATTTTATATACATGTGATTTCTAACTGGAGAGGGCAGCAATACAGCTTCTGGGTTCTCTATACACAAAAGTTTATACAGGGAGGGCCCTCACACGTAACTCCTAGCATTAGTTAAGAAGATTGAAGAAAAAAAATAGAGGGATTGCTTTCTAAAGATTCTATCATATCCACTGCTCTAAATTCCCAGAACTAGGAGAAATAGTTGTGTAGTTTTTAACCTGGGTACATATATGAAGAATAATTTTCAGAATCTAAAAAATGTTCCCAACCCCCCATTCTTTTCCCTCCCTGATCTTCCTACGCTTATACTACCTTCAAAAGACGTGATGAACAGTGTGTGGTTTGCTGCAGCTCAGGAGGGAAGAGGAGGCAGCTTTTCATACACTAGCTTTGAAAAGGAAGAGGGTGAACAACAATGGAAATTTCTCTTCCTGGTGTGGCAGGCTGAAAATTTTCATTTGATATCAGGTCACATTTTTAACAAATTTTATCTTCTTCTAGCTCTCAGGCAACTTTATTATCCAAAGCTATTCAAAGGTATTCAAAGGTATAATTATTTTTCCTCCAAAAATTCAATAATAAAAAAACAGCTGGAGGTAGGGGAGACCAGCACTGCAAAAGGTGTTTTTATGTCTCACCTTTCTGGGTCATAAAATATGGTGTTTATTCCCAAGCAGGAAATGCCACCTCTGATTTTACCGTAACATGGTTATCTCTTCCCTAAATTAAGGTATATAACCCCAAAGATGCTTACATGTACATTTGCCCGGGTAGCTTAATGGCCATCTTGCAGAATTTTAACGTCACTAGACAGACAGGTGGATGGTGGTTGGTAGGGATCACACCAAGGATCCTTCCCTTGTAAGCATTCGAGACTGACTCAACTTCAGCTCTTTGCTATTCTATCCCATTTTCCCAAGATCCCAAGGGAGTGGCAGCAGTGGGTAACCAGCTGTCACCAGCACACTCTCAGACTGCGAAGGCTATTGCTCTCAGTCTTTTATGTAGCATAAAGTCTTCTCCACTTTCCAACTCAAATAAGTATGATGATAGAATATTTATAGCCACCCATACCTCCCAAGGCTTGAATGGTCAGTAGTGGTGAAAATAAAGCAAGCCAACATCAAACAGGAAGCAAAATTACAGACAACTGGGTAGATAGCCGCTGCTGATCCCTGGGTCAAGCACAAAATATGCCACTGATGATTTGTTTTAATGATTCATCTCCCTCCTATTTAGTGTTTATAAAATGTGGAGAAGAGAGTCATACAGGACAAGGTGTGGAAAGGGTGGGATCTACACAGTTGGCAGGAAGATCCCCACCGATGATATCACAGATCCATTGGCATTACAAAAATCATGGGTTAGATAATCTTCACAGGCCCCGTCAGATCTAAATTCTGTGATCCTGTGTTCCTCCAAATTTTGTCCTTGTCTAGTACACAGTAGGCTCCTGATATATCCTTCTTGAATGAATAAATATCAAATTTTTCAACAAGGATCTGTTTATTGAAAAAGGTAAATAAATTTGGCATATATGAAGTATTAACTGAATTTTCTCAACCCTCATGCCCCAAAACAATTCATAGAATCACAGAATGTCCTAGCTAGAAGGAAACACAAATCAAGCCAACCCCTTCA